TATCAGAGTGGCGGCGGGTGCAAGCTCACTGTCCACCGGGACGGGTGGCGTTGTGACTGTGGTCGGTGGCGGTGGAACCACAGGCGGTGGTGTTAGTATTACTGGAGGAGGCGGTTCTTCATCAAGCACAGGTGGTGCTGTGTCTGTAGTCGGCGGCGGTGGAACGACAGGAGCGGATGTGACCATTACCGGAGGTGCTGGCAATAGTAGTTCGGCCAGTGGCGGTGGTGTTCGGATCGGTAGTGGCACCAATGAAGGCGGTAACAGCGGATCTGTCATGATCCAGTCTGCTACTGCCAAGACCAATTCCAATACGGGCAATCTCGAATTTGTAAGTGGCGTGAGTACCGGTACCGGCAACAGCGGCAAGATTTCACTCTCCACAGGTACAGCTAGCGGTGGCACGTCGGGCAATTTCGAGGTTACTGTTGGTAATTCTGGGCTCGAAGGAGGAACTGGTGGTGAAATCAAACTGAAAGCCGGGACGACTGCTGCCACCAATGGTGCGGGCGGGTCTATCGTTGCGACTCCTGGTGCTGGATCGACCGACGCAACGCATGGAGCCTTCCGAGTGGAGTTCCCGAGTGGAACACCTCTCCTGTCGTTGGCGAAGAATACGTTTAAGGTTGATAATGTGCTGACCATGAGTCTGAACTCGAAGTCGAACGTGGATGTCAAGGCGACAGACACTGTGACGTTAACAGGAAAGTTCGTGAATGTTGCTGGTGGACCTCTTACCGTTCAACACGATAACTTTGCTGTTACCAGTGCGACTGGGACTGTGCTGGAGGTTTCTGTTAGCAGCGGAGAGACGAGCTTGTTAGGACCACTCAATTTACGAAGCGAGGAGGCAAGTATTAAGCACACAGGCGCCACTTCTTTGACGATTTCAACACCAAAGCTGCTTGTGCCTGCCCCTATCGTTACTTTGTCGGGAGCCCAAGTAAGCTTTTCTGGACAGCGTGTTGAGTTCTCGTCCGCCACGACAGTAGCTTTCTCAGGACCCAGTGTAGGCTTCTCCGACAGCACGAAAGTCTCAATGGCGAGTACTGACTTTTTGAGCGCTCCTGCCGGCTCATCAACGCCAACAACCGTTGGCTTCTCTTCAGATCAAGTGAATTTCAAAGGAGCTGCAGTTGATTTCTTGAGTGCAACAGAGGTCTCCTTTTCGGGATTGAAAACGAATTTCAAAGGCGCCGCTGTTGATTTTTCTGGCGTCTCCTCTCAAGTGACGCTGCCCAGCAAGACGCTTAGCATTGCCAGTAGTGAAACATCACCGGCATACGACACCGTGTGCAAGGCGGGTGATCTATGGTTCGATAAGACAAAACTTTATCTTTGCGCCGGCGCCACACCAAGTTGGTATTCAGTCGAAATGACCAAGCTCACGAGCCCGACGCCAACTCCGACACCGAGTTAAGTATTGCAGATTGTATATGCACACTCCAAGTGATACATACTAGCTTGTAGCGATTAAATAAGCAATAGCAGCCAACACCATTGATTACGATGCAATGTCCATCCTACAAGTATATTGCCTGTATGTTTACTACCTTTACATTCACTTGTTTGTTTTTGTTGTTTTTGAAAAGGAAAAATTCTATTCGCTGTGACGATCCCACTGATCAGGCAAGGGCCCGTCTCCAAGACCTGCTGCAGCTTGCAGTTTTACGAATCCGACAAACATTTGTCGGAAAATCTTCCACGTCTCGTTCACTTGCGCATCTATCAAGTGCAGCGATACGTCGCGATGAGAGTTTTTCTCCTGCGCGTTGTTGTCGAATACTTCTGTGAGTTGTTGAAGCCTTTCGAGGAAACGTACGTGCACAATCTCGAGTTGATCCGCATCTTGACTGGACACCGTGTTGGACGAGCTCAAATAATGCAGACCTCCACCGTCTCCATCCCCAATTACCATTGGAGAAGGATGCTGCACCGTGGCGTGGATATCTTTATTTTTACCGGTCTCACGCAGTTCATCCAGCAATTCTCGACAGGTTTCCTGGTAATCTTCCCACGTACTGACTAGGAACTCGTAGCTCTGCAAAGGACTGGGTTTGATTTCGAAGCGTCTTGGTGCCAGTTTCTGAAGTCCACTCATCGCCTCCTTCGCGATAAGAGGGTAGCACGCAGCAGCTATGCGATCGCTCATGGGATCAGGTTTCAATGCCAAACTGGTAGTATCTCCACCATCATTGTCGCTCGACTTTGTTAGAGTCTTCTCCGTGATATACAGTCGACGCAAGATGATACAGAGATCTTCGGAAGTAAACGTGATATCTGTCTTCTGCAATATAGTCGTCAGCGTTTCTAGCTGCAATAACTCTTCAAAGTGGACCAGTTCCGCTTCAACTTCACAGCAAGTCACTCGGATTTCGTTCAGTCGGTAAAGTATATAACGTCTCCATTCATTGAGTGCCAAAACGAGGAAAACATTGGCCTCCATTTCGGATGACTTTATATCCGTAGCAGCGTCAGTAATCCGTCCTTTCAGCCGCGATTTTTGATCGGCACTAAGCTTCGAGAACGCTGTCTGTAGAATGTTTTCCACCACATCAATCGCCACAAAATCGGTCTGGTCAACCTCTGGAGAAGTGTCTGCATCGCTTTGGAGTTCACCGCTGGGGTTGATGATTCGAAAGCTGTGCAGTCCACAACGAAAAATTGCGTGTAGGAAGGCTAATGCTTCGTTTTGGCCCAGTAGTCTATCCTCGGGACACGAGTTACTCATGCAACAGAGGTGACTAAACAGCAAAGCCAGAGAATCCGTCCGTACGAGAGACCTGCAATTTGCGAACACATCGTGAATCATTCGTTCAGCTTCACAACGAGCACCGAGTCTCTCTAGAAAAAAGTCGTAAATAAGCTCAACGAAAACTGGTTTGGGCGTGGGGCCGATCCCTCCATTTAGAGAACTTGAGACGGTTAACTGAAGTGGTGACGATCGTCCAGCATGAAATGCACCACTGATACTGCTCAGCTCTCCTAGGACAACAGATATGTGTGTGGACTGCATCGACTGACGCAAAATTAACGAAATTACCAGTCGTAACCAGATCACCGGCCGTTCTGCTCTCCGCTGTCTGTAATTTAGAGGGCCACTACCGTAACGTCGGTGCATTAGCGTTCGCATCACTAATGGCGCACCCTGATCCTGCTTCAACCGCCTGCGGAACTTCATTTGTACTCGCCTCACACTCAATTTCTGCCTAACAGCATCGATCAATAGCTCCACACTAATCAATGACAATAACACAAAAAGTTAGCATTTTACAGCCTGGAAAACCATTCAAGTTAGTATACATACGATGATTTTTCTCGCTGGCGAGCGAAGTCCAGCAACCCGGTCAAAGCCTTCTCAATGTTGTGCAAATCGCTGGAGCTAAACAGACAACCAGTAGTTTCTCGTCGTATTAACTTTGCCACACCAAGGTTGTCGATAAGTCTCTGGAACAACGTCAGTAGCCGAATTCCGTCACTATAGCCACCTTCAAGCAGTGTTGACGAAATCTCATACGCAAGCGAGTCGGTCATACTGCGGGTCCAGAGGGGCAATTGCTCAATTGTGCTGCTGATGTCATTACCTAAAATTGCGAAAAATCTGCTCACAATAAATGCAGCTCGAGAACTTGGCGTCATCAGCACAGGAGAACGAGAGAACGGGTGGCCAAATATTCTCGAAACAACGGAGCTGGGACTCTCGAGTCGCATGCACGTCGAGAAGAATTGAGCCGCCTCTGCTGCGTCCATAAATGAATCGAAGTTGACTGTACCATTACCTCGAGTATACGCGTTTCGAAATAAAGTGGCTACCATAAACGACGGGATCTCGTCGTTTAGGGTGTGGACCATTGCCCGGAACTGCTCCATGTCCATCGATGCGTAATTTATACCCAACATCGCTGACAACGACATCTCCGCTACTGAATCGGACGCTGCTGCTGCCGCCGATGTCGCTGTCTGGAACATTAGACGAATAGCAGCTCGACGATGAGCTTGCTCTTCCTTGTACTCAAGCATCATGAGCTCCACCCACAGATTCGCATCCACAAAGTGTAGCGGCTCTTGTAAATTACCATCGATGGTTTCGTCATTTATTTCCCCACATCGACCAGATTTGGGTCGCTTCTGCGTATTCGCTTCTTCTGATTGAATCTTCGGTTCCAGGTAAATTTCAGGCCTCTCGTCTTCAGGGACGTTTGTAACCACGTACTCTAAAATCTTATTATCAAGTGCTTCTCGCTCAGTTTCTGTGGCTTTGGAGAGGACTACACTAGTAGCAAGCGAGGCATGATACCGAGAGATCCAAATAGTCTTCGGAACTCGCATCCGAGGCGGCACTGAAGTCTCAGCAGTTGCAGAACTATCACCAATGAGAGCGGCATATTCTCGAGCAAACACTTCGTACGACAATTTATCACGCAATGGACCCCAATTCATACGACCTTCGAGTAATACGTCCAGTACTCGATAGCAATGCAGCATGAAAACTTGTTCATCTTCCCCAAATTTCTCGTCAAGAAGTGACAAAAACAGTTTTGCCTCCAAATATCCCTGCTGTACTAATGATCGCACGCCGTAGTACAGACACCAACGGTCTTCGTTGGCTTGAATATGTTGCTGTTGCGATGCGTCTGGGTCATTTGGATCGTCGATAATGTCTGCCTCTGCGTCTCCATCTAAACTCTCAACTCCGGCAATAGATTTTTCTTCTTTCAAGGATTTCCACGGTGCAAACCACGCGTATACAAACTCAGGCATGCGAATACGCAGCGGGAACAATCCAGCCGTGCGTTTACACATAGAATCGTCGATTTGTTTGGCGAACAGGATGGATCTCATGCAGCTGAGCGTCCAGGAAATCTCACGTTGTGGTCGACGACCACCGAGATTTGGTAGTAAAATACGGAAGTACAGACATTGAATACGCCTCTTCTTTGGGATCTTAAAAGCTTCAGTCTCGTTAGTCACCGGAGAATTAGTGCTTTCTGGTCCTTTATTTCCATCCGCCTTCCCTTCATTTGCAGATATTGTCCGTAAATCTTGCTTACATCGAACGCAGACTCCAGTAGCTGGACCGTTAGAGTCTCTCGTTATAGTTAGTGCGCCATCTCGCTCGTCTTCTTTTTCTTCTTCTGCTTGTCGGCGCATTTCCTCTTCTCGAGCAGCTTTGAGCTCTTGGGCTGCAATTAGGTTGCTTTGCTGCTCCATTAGAGACGCAATTACGGTGTCTTTCGTATGTACTAAATTCGTCAATTCTGTGATTTGGTCTTTGAGTGCATCTCGATCTCGACTAAGTTCGTCAAATTTACTCTGAAGTTGCTGCTTTTCCTGAATCACTGGACGCAATTGTTCAATCTCCTCTCGACACTGTTCGTATTTGTGCTCGAGTCTGCCGTAATTCTCACGCAGCTCCACAGCTTTCACCTTCTCCGTATCTTCGCGCATTTGTCTAAAAATCGCATTTAGCGTCTTCATTGCATCACCCATTTTCGTTATTTGCTCCTTCGAGTCGGCCAATCGCCGCTCCATATCACTCTTTTCGCTCTCAAAAGTAGTCTTTAACTTGTCAATTTCCGTCTCGTATCGCTCCTTCATACTTTGAGCGTCTTGCTTGTGGTGTTCATCCGATCTGCGAACTTCTTCTCGAAGATATTCCACCTCTTCCTTCTCTTGAATGAGGTCCTGCCATTGAGATTTGTAGAGATTTTCCAGCTGGAAAAACGCGTTAGCATACAATATACGAGCCTTGCGAAGAACCACACCCTGCTCCAGGAAAGAGACCGTGAGCATAGACTCCAATTCGCCTATGACCACATCGGACCATTTTTGCTCAAAAAGTAATTTGGTCAGAATTTTGCGACTGTCACTCGAGCTTTCGCTGGATGCTGCTGAGCCGTATCGCTGGATGATTCGAGCGTAAATAGCCATGAAATCCTGATCAAGCATGGACAGTTTTTCTTCACAAGCGACGTCCATGTGTTTGTTCTTGCTTGCAAACTGGATAGCCGTATCAAAACATCTCTCCAAGTCCAATACATCAACTCTCCTGGACGGCCTATCGACGCCGGTAATGCTGCTTTTACCCCCTCCTTTGCTAGTCTTAGATCGCTCGTCTGAACCTGGTAGAAACAGCCACGTCTTGTTCTTGTTCTGTGTCGCGTGGAAGCAGCTCGCCGACATCTTCTCAATGGAATAATAGTGCGAAATCGAGGGATTATCTTCGCAATCCGACTGGTTTCTGGATGTTCGAGATCTTGGTTTAGTACCAGGTAGATTCCCCGTAGATTTAGAAGATCCTAATTCCATCCGAGGCAGTACGACTCTCTTAAGCTTCGAGCGCGTACTTTGATTCGATGATTCAGGCTCCATTGACGCCACTTGCTTAGCAAACGTAGACACACGGAATAGTGAACTTTTGTGAAAAGGTTGAGAGCTTTTCTGATCCAGCAGGAACTTTCTCACGTCAAATTCACCCTCTATTACACCTCCAGTACTTCTGTTAGGCACAGCCCCTGCAGTCGACGGGGGATGACGGTGCGAAGAGCTCGGTGATGTCATCTGTGGTGCTGATGAATCCAAATGAAACACTGCACTGCCCATAGCCGAAAACGGGCGATCTGGATTCACTGACTCAGCATTATTCCAGCTCGACAGGGACTTGTTGGGCTTCTCACGACTTCCCTCCATGGCGAAACATGCAGCATACGAAGTGGGTCCCGATGCTAGAAAGCCGCAAAAAGGAGAAACTGTCATGATTTAAAACCGTGGCGATAGGAATAGACTCGCTTCTGCAGTTTATGAGCTCACCAGGTCGCATAAAAGATAGGCTTTGTGTTCACATCGGTCTTGATCGATTGCGAAATGCCTACTTAAGTATTTAATTCTTTTCGGGCGGTATTCTCGAGATGTAAGGGGTTCAGTGCTGCTCCTGCGCAATTTATCGGAAAACACAGCTAAACTGAACATGCAAAAACGCCTGTTAGAACTTAAAAATATATGATATCTCGTAGTCCCGGTAGTCAAAATTTGAAGCATAATAATAAGGGTATACTTCTTAATGATGATCGTGACTAAGAGAGATAGAGGAAAGAGACAAGAACGAGTAATAGAAGGAGTGGGGAGATCATCTAGGTTGCGGCATGGTACATCGCTGTAATCTAAGCTAAGGAAGGAAATTGTTCTCCACAGGAAGCTACTAACATCGGTTAATTAGATAGAAAGTTCCTTGTATCTTTCTCTCCATGTCTAGTTGATCTAGTTTGTAAATCCATCAGGTTCAAAAGCATTGGTATCTCTAGTATAGACTGTATAACCTAGAGTGTCCTTATCCGCGTCGTGCTGCGGGAAGTAACCCGTGCGTCTCCAAGATCGCTGAGCAGCCACACGCACACAATACCTTGAACTTCAAGGTACTCAAAGCTTGAAGTGGCGGCGCCTATCGAAACTTGGACATCTCCTCGTTGAATACCCCGCCCAGATGAGGAATCGAAGCGTCGGCCTGTCCGCTGGGACTTCTGCCTCCATGAAGTTACTAGTAGCAACGGATGTTTATCCGTCCTAGATACTGCATTTCATGTTAGCCAGCACAAATGTTATTCTGTTTGCATTTATTTTAGTTCGACGATTGTTCTTGCCGAGGAGGTTTACTGCACACGATAGTGGATATATCGAATATAATACATAGACGCATGGTCGCTTACTTACTAACCGTTATTTGTAAATAGCGTTCTTTACTTGAATGCCCTCGAAAACCTCACTCATGCGAACGCGGTGATAACACAACCAGGTAGACTGTTCACTCTGGATTATAGAAATACGTAACAGCTTGCCTAGCTCAATGGACCCCAGAAGGAAGGTGTTTCATTCACCTGCTGGCAAATATGAAAGATTCTCTACATTACCCCATCAAACTCCCCCCCCCCCCCCCCTATATTTAAGTCTCTTTACACGCAGTGCTTTTGTTTATTATTTTGTTGGCTGTGCACCAGACAGATCATATGCTACTGGTAATACAAGTTGATTCCGGCAAGGTTTACGCGCAGATTGGTATTAAATACCACTATTGCATTTTTGTCTTTTGCCGTGGCAAAATATTCATTTTACATTTTTCCCCGATACCGCGTTCAGCCAACAGCCCCGAGACCAAGTGTAGCCAACGATGGGTATCCACCACCCCCTGCTGCTAGCTGTGTTCGTGTAGTGGATTCCGGGCTTCCAGCTTGGTATCACCACAGTGGAACTCTGAGCTTGTAGACGAACATCCAGATCAGGTGCAGAGCGGCGGGCTCCGCAACCGAGTGATGTCCAGCTGAAGATCACAGGTGGACCCGAATGTGTCTGACGGCAACGAGCCGTAGACAATGGGTGCAGATTTGTTGGCTCGGATCGCAAGGATTGCTTTCCCGAGCTGTACTAGGATTTAGTAAGCCCAACTGCATGTTTCCCTTGGTGCGGTTTCATGTACATTACCAGCAGTCTGTCCACTACGGTCTGCCTCTCTCTCTTCGGGTTCACTTGGTGAGCACGAGCTGGTTACCATCAGACTCACGGTCTCCCAAGGAGCTCACTTTCCAATCTTCCAAGACACCAACACATCAATATATTCGGCTACTACTTCCGTGCGGGTTGGCCCCCGCATCGCTGTGTTGGAGTTTGTTGGTTTTCGGACCCCGGGAAACACTACAAAGATCTTTGGTGGAATTACCACTGCTCGACGCTGCCGGCACGTCCGACAACGACTTACAGTGGAACCGAAGCCATTTCGACACACCGATTTCCTGACTTGACAATCGTCGGTGTACCCTCAAGATCCAGTTGTGAGCCATCATGGTGCGCGCTGCTGGAACTGATGGACCCATGGGGACCGTCCCACTGTTCACTCCTGTTCTGCCTCCCATGATCGAGTCAGTCTCCCATGAGGCGCTCGTGAAATGGAAGAGGGATCGACGTGACTACGAGGCGAAGATGCAAGCTCGCTGCCGTGTCACTGGAGAAGACTACGCTGCGGTGGTGCAGTCAGTCCGAGACTCTTTCCAGCCTCAACTACTCGACGTGTTCTGTGAGCTGCAACTCAACGTGGCTACAGCTGACGCCACCGAGGACGGACATGCTGACTGCTGAGATTGACCACATCGTCAGTAGCATCAAGAATGACACGTTGCCCGACATCAAGGAGCTGTTCAAGCGAGGGCTACGCATCAACCTACGCGAGAGTGATGTGAATGCTCGTCTTATGGACTACTACATGATGTTCAACACCATCGTGGACGACAACGGACTTACGGACTGTTTCAGTGGCCCCAACGGCACGAAGGAGAAGTGCAAGAGGTTGATCGCAAACCTGCTACCCAAGTCGCTGAAGCAAGAAGTAAAGCAGTGCGTTCGTTTCACCCATATGGATGCTGCCAAGGACCCAAGGGCTCTGTTTCGTCTCATTTTGGAGAAGGCGAATGAGTTGGAGCGTCAGCATGAGCGGATGAAACGTGAGAAGCGAGACGCAACTGGCCAAGATAAGGAGAAGCTCAAGACCAACCAACCTGGCAAGGCGAAGAAGCGCTGGGACTCCAAAAGACGGCGGCCCCGACCAACAACAAGGACGCCGAGCCGACCAGTCGGAACCCAGCCGACCCCAAGCCGAAGTCATCGACTTCGAACTCGTCGAAACCCCCGCCTGCTCCGTGCCCGAAGTGCCAGGAGATGCATTGGCTGCGCGACTGTCCTCAAGCTTCTCGGCAGGAGAAAGAAGAGCTGTGGAAAAAGATGCGTGACAACCGTGGCGGGAACAAGAAGGCAAAGTTGAAACGACTTGGTGAGCTACTACCCCCTACTGATCGCGTGGTGATTTTTAATGGGAAGCTGGAGCTCCCGTACTGCCCCGACAGTGGATCTGACTATACCGTCATCGGACACTCACACTGGGAACAGCTGAAGATTTGGACCCAAGTGTGGAGGCTGAGGAGCTGGAAGTTCCTGTACTGAACCAGACCTTTGGTTCGACAACAGTTACGGCCAAGTGGAAGGCCAAGCTACATGTGATGATCCACACTGCTGTCGGCCCCGTGGAGCCGATGGAAGCTGTGGATGTGCTTGTGGTCGACATTGACGACGGGGAGTTCATCGTTGGAAACGACTTGCTCACTGCGTTGGGGATTGACGTCAATCGTCAGCTCCAGCAGCTAGCAATGCGCGTGGATGACGAGACAAGTGGCGACCCGATCGACCTGGAAGCAGATGACATGCCTGTGAAATTAGATAACTCTGAACCAAGTGGAGACTAAGATATTTTCGCTGCTGTGGAGCGTCTGGTTAATCGTGCGGTGGAGAACGGATTCCCGTTGGAACACGTGGAGCAACTACGCACCATTGTGCATGCTTACGACGTATGGCGTTTGGAGCTTCGTGATGACCCTCCAGCCAACGTGCCACCGCTGGAAGTGCGACTGAAGGATGGGGCTCGTCCTACAAAATGTAAGCCCCGCAAGTATCCTCCACACATCCGAAGGTTTTTACATGATTTCAATGCTCGTCTTGTGGAATTAGGACTCGTATATGAGAACCCCAAGAGTCAATGGGCGAGCCCTGTTCTTCCAGTCAAGAAGTCTTCCGACATTATGGACTTGCGGCAAACGACTGACTACAGAGCAAGGAATGAGCAGACTGAAGTCATGGCGGCAGTAATGCCGATTCTCTCGTTAGTTTTGGAAAATGCACGTGACATGAAGCACTTTGGACTCTTTGATTTTCTTAAAGGTTTCGGGCAGTTGCCTTTGGCAGAGCTCTGCCAAGAGTTCATGTCCTACATGACCGACGAGAAGATTTTTACATACCACAAGGTTGCGCGGATGCTGCGATTCACTTCCAAAAGACTATGGAAGAGTGTTTTGCCAGTTTGCTGTATGAGCATCTACTAATCTGGATCGATGATCTCCTCCTGTACGCCAAGGACATCGAGGTGTATTTGGAGAAACTCGCTGAGCTTTTCGCGTTGCTGAATCAATTCGGCCTCAAACTAAGCGCGAAGAAATCAAGTCTCTATCAAACTGAGGTCAAGTGGTGTGGTCGACTGATCAACCACGAAGGAATTCGACACGATCCAGGACGGATCGACACTCTTCGATCACTACCTTATCCGACAACCGCTGGCGAACTGCAGCAGTTCGTTTGCGCCATCAATTGGATGCGTGAAAGTCTGGTAGACTTTGCGCGACAAGTTGCTCCCCTTCAACAACGTCTTGATAAAGCCCTCGCTAGTACCAAGCGCACACGGCGCGCTGCAGCAGGGATTGAGATCGAGTTGAACAAGGAAGAGCGCCAAGCTTTCGACAATGTGAAAGAACTGTTGGCGACGTCCGCTACATTGAACTTTCCTGATGATAGCGCGACGACGTGCCTATTTACAGATGCATCAGACGTGGGATGGGCCGCAATCGTGACTCAAGTCAAGGAGTACGATCCGAAGCGACCAGCCACGGACCAACATCACCGACTCATCCAGTGCATGAGCGGGACCTTCACTGGCAGCCAGTTGAACTGGACTGTCATCGAGAAGGAAGCCCTGCCCATAGTGCTGGCTTGTGAGAAGATGGACTACTTGCTACTACGTCCGCAGCCATTCCGCCTGTTCTGCGACCGCAGGAATTTGATTCATGTTTTCGCGCCGCATGAGAGTGTCAAGAAACATATCAAGGGCAAGCTTCTCAGATGGGCAATGAAGTTGATGAACTTCCGATATATTGTGTAACACGTGCCGGGCCCTGACAACGTATGGGCCGACATGATCTCTAGATGGGCTGGGAATCACGCTCCAGTGGTGACAGTGAAGCGGATCAGAGCTTTGCGCCAACGCCCAGCACCAACACGACCAAGGCTACGACCTCTGGACGATGCTGGTTTTGTTTGGCCGACATTGGATGAACTCATTGCAGTCCAAGCGGAACATCACCCGCCAACGGAAGCGGTGACAGCAGAAGACGGAACGATCACGGTGGACGGACGAATTTGGGTGCCCTCGGAAGCAACTGAGCTGATACAACGCCTGTGTATTGTTGCGCATTGTGGAGCCCAAGGCCACCGAGGCCAGCAGGCCATGATCGCTCACCTCCGTAAACTCTTTGGGATCGACAACCTCGCGGACATTGTGAAGAAGTTTGTGAACGACTGTTTGCTATGTCTGCATTGTCGAGGGGGAAAATCATCCCAAGGCCTTGGGGTGAAGCAATTGATTGCAGTGTTCGGAACGGGGCTCTTCATTTTGATTTTCTTACGATGGGACCAAGCTATGGAGCCAGCCAGTATATACTTGTTCTCAAGGATCACGCTACTCACTATTGCGAACTTGTGGTAGCGGATGCAGCGGACAGCAGAGTCGCAACTGAGGCACTTTTATCGTGGCATTCATGGTTTGGAATTCCTCCGAGCTGGGTGTCCGATCAAGGGACCCACTTCAAAAATGAACTTATGGCGGAGCTCAGTCGCAGATTACGCACGCAGCAAACTTTCACACCAGCTTACAGTCCATGGATCAATGGATCCGTAGAGAGAGTGAATCGTGATATTCTTCAGGTCATTCGCGCGATGATTTTGACGTACAAGGTGAGCCAGAAGGACTGGGTCTATTTGGTTCCGATGGTACAAGCAAATTTGAACCATACTGCTTTGCCTTCTCTCGGCAATCACTCATCGTTGGAGCTTTTCACTGGACTGCAGAACCCGACTCCTCTGCGAGAATTCTATCGGCCTGACAAGAACAGCTTGCAGACCATCCCTGACTCTGAGGAGATTGACGGTTATCTCGCAGAACTCCGTGGAAGTGTCCAAGGCATGCACAGCGCTGTTGAAGACCAGCGACTGAAGCACGTCTACTAAACAAGAAGCGTGAGCGCTGTGAAAATTTGGTGAATTTCACTGTAGGCGACTATGTTCTCCGATCTCGAGTGGATGAGAAACACGGGAACAAGCTACAGGTTACCTGGGTTGGGCCGTATCGCGTGGTGCACGCCGACACCCATTCATTTCGAGTTCGGCATCTAGTAACTGGTGATGAGTCCGACGTACACGCCTCAAGGCTCAAGATGTATTCTGACGACAGCCTGGAGGTGACAGACGAGCTACTGGAACACATATCGGCTCAAGGAATCTTACTAGCCGTTGATGAACTCAAGGATCATCGTTGGAACGATAATATCAAGGACTTCGAGATTCAGGTTGGTTGGAAAGGCTTACAATCAATTGAGGATTCGTACGAGCCGCTGACCAGTCTCGGCAAAGAAATTCGCGTCCTGGTGGACAATTACGTGCAGCAGTCTGGTGATCAGCAACTTCAAGAATGCTGGCAGACACTGCAATCAGGTGGAGATCAGCGGCGGGCTGGATCCACCAATTCAAGTAATGGTGACACGCGTACACCGCAGCAAGGTGCGCGGCCGACAAGACGTCGGTACACAGGAAAGAAACGACGACGTCAACCTGCAGCGGAGCGCGATGCTCAGCAGGATGACGACAACCCCGGCGGAGATGACGATCTTCGTACAGGAACATATTCGCAGCAGGCCGCGACTGGGACTGAGGAGAACCAGACCTCTCGACGTCCTGCAGGCCGGCGAACACGGTCACATACCGTAGCTGCAGGTGCACGGCCAGCTCCTCGCAGCACTTCGAGCCGCTCTACTCGCCGTCGCAGGAACCATGGCCAGCGCAGCTAGAAATGCTGTTGTCGGTGACCGACTGAGAAGAGTGGTGAACCAAGCTTTGGGGGCTGTGTAGTGGATTCCGGGCTTCCAGCTTGGTATCACCACAGTGGAACTCTGAGCTTGTAGACGAACATCCAGATCAGGTGCAGAGCGGCAGGCTCCGCAACCGAGTGATGTCCAGCTGAAGATCACAGGTGGACCCGAATGTGTCTGACGGCAACGAGCCGTAGACAATGGGTGCAGCTTTGTTGGCTCAGATGGCAAGGATTGCTTTCCCGAGCTGTACTAGGATTTAGTAAGCCCAACTGCATGTTTCCCTTGGTGCGGTTTCATGTACATTACCAGCAGTCTGTCCACTACGGTCTGCCTCTCTCTCTTCGGGTTCACTTGGTGAGCACGAGCTGGTTACCATCAGACTCACGGTCTCCCAAGGAGCTCACTTTCCAATCTTCCAAGACACCAACACATCAATATATTCGGCTACTACTTCCGTGCGGGTTGGCCCCCGCATCGCTGTGTTGGAGTTTGTTGGTTTTCGGACCCCGGGAAACACTACAGTTCGCCCTACTCGCCTGAATCGACTTAGTCTCAGGTTTCACTGTCAGACAACAACCCCCCAATTCTCCGATATATTCAACCGATCGACGAATGCTTCGAGCAGATAAAAGATGAATGAGGTGATTGATGAAGAGAGGGGAGCGATCGACACGCTACGCAATAGGCTGGCCAATAAAGCATCGGCCTGGCTTAAGAGCAAGGAAATCGTATCTGCCAAGAAAATTGAGACCAAGAAGCTTGTGGAATATGTGAAACAACAAGCGCGCTCCACAAACCTTGACGACGCTGTGGAGAATTTACAGAAGAAAGGTATTACTCATGATCAGATGAAGAAATGGCTAAGGCTCGACAAGGAAAAGAATCAGTGGATGTCGATGAACCGTAATAGCCCGCTCTACAATACTTACACTCCGGAGTACAAGCTTTTTGACAAGCTTAGAGATGCAGCAATTATACGCAGGCGCGCAAACCAGTAGCGGAGCAAATGGTACCGCACCCTGTGGGCTCATCGAGGACTCTTTTGTAAGTAGCTCACAGCAACCCGCAAACGCTAATCTACTAACAACACAATATAGCTGTCACATTTTGTGGTACGGTATGAATTTATATTCTTCCACCCATTTTCGGATGTTAAGGCTGTGGAATGTGAGCTCCAGTCTGGGACATTAATGGTTTTTCGTAGCCTATTACACTGCGAATTATATTAGTACGTGCTATGAATCTATGCGGGTCAATACAAAAATGGTCAACTACATTGACTTGATTTTTGTATGGAAGTAGTGAGCGCGAAGTAGGACCTCGCGGTATTTGCTGAGGCCCAGCGACGAGCTCACTAGCGAACGGACCCATAGGACGATGGACCAACCCAGAACATTTGGCATATCTGGACTGCAACAACACTTGCTATACTAAGGATCACAGATTGATTGGGCCGTGTATACTATACAGCAAGCTATTGCAAAGAATTCAGCTCGAAAAGTACCCTCTTACGAATAGTAACCCTCGATTCTAGATTGCAGAAACGACTGAGCCAATAAGCACCATACGAACAAATGGAACGCTTCTTGAAAACCTACAACAATTGCTCAACAACGTATTTGCGACTTTATGGAAAAAGCCCGCAACATCGCAGCTTCAAGTGACCAAGTTTTTATCTTCACGCAACGATAACAAGATCTTTGATATGAATTGTCAAGTACCCACTGCCATACGGAATTTCAATACAAAGACGGAACCTCAGAGCCCAAATGGGTGATATATTTCCACAGAAAGGCATAAGGCATCGTCTCGAGTCTTCATGCATATAAGGCTTCTATAGAAAAAGGAGAGTGAAAGAGGCCACTTTTCATCATCACCAGCGAACGGACTCGGTTTCTATTGCGGGGATCTGGGGCAGCAACCCCCATAAAAATACTCCGAGCTGGATTGGTCCGCATGTGATCCAAATAAAGTCTACCTGACACTGACAGACTGAACTGATCAAAACAATTTTCTCCATTCCGATTCAAAAACAATGTTTCTAGACTGGTGGCAAGCTGCTGGCCTCGCGGCGGTTGTTTCTTCTTAAGAGCTGCATCTGTCGATTAAACTTCTTAGCATGTCCCTGTTGGTCAATAGCTGGCGTTTGAAGTGGATTCGCACTGTTACTTCTCCCAGAATTAAGCCCAGAAACAATGGGTCTTGTACTCCCAGCACTTGAACTTTTCGCGCGTGGCAGTGTGGCAGCTATCGAACTGGGGACGATCTCATCCGATCCGTTGATTCGCCGAATGACATGCTTCTCCATGTTAACTGGAAGGAGATATCCCTGTCGATCAGGTTCCTCGCCATTGTCAGCTTCACTGTGAGGATTCGAGCAGGTGCTTCTGCTGCTACTACTTCCGTTGATCGCAGCAGGTATACAAGCTCCAGTCGTCGTGGCCGGCGTGAGGTCTTGGAAGCAGAGTTTAGGCAGCCCTAGAGTTCTCATTTGCTTCTTTTCAAGCTGCGGGATCATGGATTGCGACGAGAGGATGGTTTTGAGCACATACACCATCCATTTCTGCTCTCTGCATGTATACCGCACACATTTTGCAGTGACGAATGTCGTCTCCTCACCATTAACTTGGCTGAAAGCACTGTTTCGACGAGAAAAGCGTCGAATTCCTTGTGTAGACGGGGTTACGCCTTCGTCAATGGACCCAAAAATCGATATCTTCTCGCACTCATAACGTACTTGTTGCAGATCTTCATCGGTTTGTCGGAGCGTGGACAATAAGCTCGGGACTAACTGACTGCGTGCGTCGATTGTGGCCTCTTCTTCCACCACTAAACGGTGCAACGTAGCAGCGCAGATCCGTCCTAACAGACTGTAACTCGAGTTGTTAGGTCTCAGCTTCGCCCTGGAGCGCGTCGTACCCTGCTCTTTCGTCTTTACACGACTTAACACGTCCAACAGCGTCGAGATCACGCCCAAACGCACCATCGCTACACGGAACACTTTAATGGTGCTCAGATTCGCGATAGCCGCACTAGCTTCCATCAGTATCCGGTCACTAGCTTGGCCAGACTTAATCTCTTCTTGGAAATACTTGATACCATGCAACAGATGTCGTTCTAGCATCAAACTCACGGGCATTTCTCGGTCATATGCATTGTCATCGTCCGTCTGTACATCTTTAACTTGATTCGAAGCACTAGCGCTTTGATCTTGCCTGTCGTAGAAGAGCATTTGATGTTCGGTGACACAGAGTGTGAGGTTTCGGATCGTGACAGCGCCACACTCTCGAAGTCGTAGGTTTCTCGACACATTTCCACCTCCACAAATACTAACAGCTACATGAACCGCTTGAGTTTCACTGAGTTGTAGCTGAATAGGTTGATGGGTAGATAAGAGCATCAAAACCTGAATACACTCACGTGCTATCACAGTATTCGTGGTATGTCGTCGATGCAGCAGCGAGCACAGACTCACGGTGCGCTGGCGTAGTAGAGCCTCTGCACACTGTGGCTTGGTGGCAAGGGTATGCATGAGACTGGCCGTTAATTCACACGCCTCGACATCAGAGCCCAACGCTCGATACTCGAGAAGTGGTAGTAGACGTAAGATAGTCCTCTCTTCCATCACCAGTAGTGCAAGCGCATCATCGTGGGAAATACTGTGCAAACATTTCAATGCAGCCATATACGTGCTCGCACTTGTGTGTCCACATTCGTCGACAGTCTCCGAGCTTGTGACTTCACAGGAAATGGCAGATGACGCAGTCTCCCCTCCATTAGCTGTAACTTCTAGTAGCGCTATCACTGCTCGAACGACCTGCATTTCTCCAAAGAGATGCAGAGAATCCACCACTAACGAACAATTCGCCAGCGCTTCAGCGGCGAATTGACGAGCTTCTGGGTGATCGCATTCCATGCAGAAAATAAGCAATTGCAGTATTTTACGTTCACACAGCATCTCGACCCACGGTTGACAGCAGCTCAAGTTCCGCAGCGCCATAGCAGCCGACACACGGGACTCAATATCTGCATCTGCGTAGTTGTAAATGATCTCAGTCACTTGTGCTCGAATGAGTTCCTTGTGGTTTTCCTCGTAACTTGTCAAGTTACAGATGATGGTAAGTGCTAGTCGTCTACTCTCCACAGTCAGATGGCCAGCTACACACTGCTTTTGCGGTTGTTTCTGCGGTTTAAACTCTTCTTTGAACAGAAAAGACGTGCCTGAAGCCTCGTTTCGACCGCCTGAAAAGGAAGTATGTTGCTGGAATTCCACTGCAGCTGAAAGGTATGCCATGATTCCGTTCGAGAGAAGCTTGTTGTGATACTGATGGTCGCAGGATAAGTTGAAAAGCGCTCGTAATCCAATGCTAAACACTTCGTCCATAGATGATGACACTGTCGTGTCCAACACTGTAGAGCCACGACGGTCCTCTGCTGCAGTTGAACCTGATAGTATAACCTGCGATAACTTCATAAGCGCGTAGAGAACTCCATCTTCGACGATTTTAGCTCTGGAATCTTCATGAGATAATAAATTAGACAGCGTCTTGGCGTGGATCTGCTTGGTCTGGATGGAATTGGCTCGTAGTAAAGCTACCACAATGAAGTCCTTAAGTTCCACCGAGGACCACACACACGCGACGGTGGATACATTACAGGCTGCTATAGCTGCGTACTGCTGACACTCGACGTGACTGGATCGTCCAAGGCGGTTGAATGCACGTGCTAAGTGCTCACACTCGGCAAGTTGTTGACACCCTTCAGCCGTGAATGAAGTGATGGCAAATGCAGCCGAACAAGCCAGTAAAGCTTGACATTCCTCGATGGAATTGCAGCAGTTAATCAGGCCTTGAATGATACGCTGGTTCGCCGAGCTCGACGCACACAAGTGATATAGTGTAGCTGCACAGAAAGCCTGACTAATGCTGCCTTTAGTACTACCGTCAATGGATACGGATGGTAGCGCAGACACCGCAATGAGCATCGCTTCGGTCTCTTCTGAGTGGATGAAATGCTTGTGACTGTCTCGGCGTTGAGTTGCAGCTCGTGTCAACGCGAACAAAGACGCAGAGGCGTAACATACAATTGGGAGCTGTCTCTGTAACTGCAAACGCTGTGGATGGGTGCTAGAAGCATTGGCCGGTATCGACGTTGTCAGCTCCATATACGTTCGTAAACACGGCAGTACAAGTGATACTACGAGCTCAATGTTCGCACTGTCCATGAGTTCATTAGCGACGTGAAAGATTGAAGCCAGGAAGCGTTCTTGATCATCTCCAAATGCCAAATTTAAAGTTTGGTACTGTTCCTTTTCCGAATTTAGTGCAGTATTCGGCATGTGTAATGGTGAGATTTTGGTATCAACATTGGTCACGGAAGGCTCAAAGAAGTTAAAGCCATTTACTAACGCGCGTATTGCTTGATCTCCATACACAGCTTGCTGCAGATAACTGTCGAAAAGGAGATTTGAAATCACCAGTTCGTAAATATATCGGAGTCGTCTCGAATGCCCCATGTTTTCCGCTGCTGCTGCTAAGAGTTTCCCATCCAAAGTACGAAGTAATTCAATGATACATGTCGCCTCCTGTGCGAGATTCAACAGCGTTATCAGCGCGTCTTCCTTCACATCTTCCGACATTTCGGCAGTCCACGGGAACGCAGTTAAGTACGACGAAGTTAAGTACCAAACCGGGTCAGCATCGGATAAATTCTGCAACATAATCCCGCCGAGGGAAGGAATCGACGATTCTTTCGTTTCGGCTGTCGGAATACCCTGTTTAAACGCATTTGTTCGAGGTATTTCGTCATCTATTTCGTCAGTAATCACAACTGGAAGCACAATTATTGCGTTGAGCATGGTAAGAACATACGGGATCGCAATAATTACCGATCGGCAGGTCGCTTCGAAACTTAAGTTGCTTAACGTACGCACTGCATTACGCAGTAATATTCGAGCATCTGGAGCTACCACATAACGCTGGTGATCCATTAGCGCCAGCTTCGTAGCCACAGAGATCAAATCTGGAGTGAAATTTTGTCGACGTAGTTCAGCATTGCTCGAAAAATTAACTAGAGATCTAGAACATGATACAGTCGTGCAGCGAAATCTCTCCACAATTGTTACACTTGTATTCAGGTTCCCCACATCCCGTAAAGCACCGGACAGCATTAAACTAAGCGCCTTAATCCCGTGAGACCCCACCATACTGTGATACTCGATAAACGCCGAAAAATTGGCCAGCGTGTCGGCTGCCAAGCCCAATAATTTCATACAAACGCCAAGATCAGAGTCAGAGGTCCAACCAGGAGCTTGTACGCCCATATTGAACATAAATCTGGAACTAGCTCCACCGGTGCTGCCATCCACTAACTTGCAGAGTTGACTGACTAAAGTATACAGAATCTCCGCTCCACCTGCACGTAGCGCACTCAAGCAGCTGGATCGGTACAGTGAGAGGTTAAATAACGTTTCAATCGCAAACTGAGAAGTGGAAGAGGCAGCGGACAGTTGACTTAAGACATTCAGGAGACCAAGAGGACTCTGGACTGCATGAGGGTCCCCCATGAACACCCGATCTGGAAAAGTATGGCCATGGAATATTAAATTCACAATACAAGTCACCGCTAGTTGTTGCAGTGGGGTGTGTGGGGTAGTGAGTATTGCCATGATCTCAGTGATCGCCTGGTGCCGAATCAACGTAGCAGCACGCGCTCGGCTCTGTGACAAACGACAGAGTGCAGTAATACAGGCAACTTTCACATCTACAAGTGGGGCCCAGCTCAATTCCAGTAGTGCAGACACTCCATCTTTAGACGTAAAGTCTTCCAGTACCGATAAATCGGTAGTAAGATTGACGAGCACCGAGGCAGAATATCGCAGTAATTTCGAGTCGTCTGCGTCACTAAAATCGGCAATTTGCGCGATCGCTCCACCTTCGATGATCGCAAGTTCACAGCCGGTTTGACACGAGAGTTTGTAGAGAGAATAAGCACATGTGAGTCGTGCGTCCGAATTGTGAATTGGGCTGGAAATCACGGCAACATCGCGAGGTTTAACTTCGTACGGTCTGATGGTGGAGCTGGCATCTCCTCGGATTGAGTTTATTCGCTGGAAAGAGGCCTTAGAAATAGTACTGGCACTCCTTAAGCCTGGACGCATTGATGGTTTCCTTGTTGGTTGTAAAGCTGGAGGAGCGCTAGTGTCTGCACTGATTGATTCGAGTTCTTGATCAGGATTTGTCCGGTTGTTGTTAACATTTTTAGTGAGAAACCCACTGGGTACATCGTCCTTGAGTTTGGTTTGGATCCCTTCCATAAGTAAATCTACACCCGATTCTTCTGTACCAGATTCACTCGCATGTAGTAAATACTTCCTTTCTGCAGGTCTCTGGATCCCTAGTGAATGTCTCGCACGAACTGCAAGAGCCAGAGCTCGTAGACGTATTGCTGTAGTGGAAGGAGATTTCTCCTCTTCTACCACAGCTGTCATGGACGCACTCGACACTCGTCGATTGGTATTTGCGCGAGATTTTCTCCTACCAGGGATTCCACGGGACACACCCCTGTCCAGTGACGAACTCCCTGGTCTTGATAAGACCGTCTTGGCCTTTTGCTCTTCGCCATTGACCACAGTCGGCAGCTGCTCCCTTCCATCTACGACACCGGCGGATAGTCGACGCATGAAGCTTTTCTTTACTCACTTGGTTAAGCATTTACTTTTGTCAACAACTCAAACTACAAATAGCTGCGGCATTGGATGTAACTGATGACTTGCAGTCCATTGGGACCTCCTGGGGCTGCCTCACTAAGCTCCTTGCGGCGGACGTATGTGGCTTGACCATCTTGTCCTTAAATGGAAGACCTCAAAAGCTCCCTCGCTTAAATTCGAAAAATACTATCGAAATTAAGTTCCTGGCGAAAAATAACACGAGACCCGAATTTTGTATACAGACTCGAATTTAATTCCATACCGAATTTTGGATTGGATACCGAAATTAGGATATATTTGTTCAATCTGTTAGGACGTGTATGTTCGTAAACTTTGGACCGGTAAACCGGTTTCTGGTAAACCAGAGATCATGTTGACGATTTTACGATTACGATTGGCTCGTTCATTCTTCTTTTCTTTTTTTCTTTTTTTCTCCCGGCTTCACTCGTTTGGGCCAGTATTTTTGTTTGACTATCGTTAAACTGTAGCTCGTTATACATGTACCGCTGAAGCGCTTGGCCGAGTTAGAATTTTAAATTATATCAGTTACAGAATAAGCTTTAATCTAAGTTACTGCCTCTGCGACGCGCTTGTTACCTCATGTTTTCTCGATATCGTTCTCAAACGTCTCGCTCAAGGCTGGATGCCCCATTGCTTGTGCTACTGTTATCCGCTTCTGAGGATCAATCTCCAGCATGCCTGACAACAAGTGTATAGTATTGTACGACCCAGGCCTTGCCATACCCCACTCGTGCAGAATTGCAGCCACACCTATCTGCTTGAAACTACGGAATGACTTCACAGACACTGATGCCAGTGGAACCAGCGGCGAACCAAATGTCTGCTATTTTCGGGTCGTACGTATCACCAGCCACAACCTCGGGTGCCATGTAGTATTTCTTCCCAGCATGGCGACCGCAAATTCGAAGTGCACGTGTGGCCAGACCCAAGTCACCAAGTTTGCACCTTCCACGATGTAGCATAATGTTTTCAAGAGAGATGTCGCGGTGCGCGATGCCGTGTTGGTGAAGGAATGCTAGACCCGTTGCCACTTGAGAAAACACAGTTAACGCGCCGGAGCATGCTTCTTTCTCAGCAAGGGCGTTGTCCGGTACGTGTCCGTCGTCTGGACAATCTTGCATAAAGCTCGCCATACGCCCCAGAGAAACTTGTTTGATGATAACAGACGATATGGTGGTGCTTTCAGGTGCACATCCCGATTCGCCACGCATGTCTTCACAGACATAGATCCATCCGTAGATAGTCAAACTGATTTCACGGACAACGCGATAGCGATCATGTAGTACGAACATTTTTGACGCGGGACTAGGCCTGCACTAAAGGAGGACACTGGAGAAGTGATCGATAAACTGACACCACAAGAACGTTGCGTTCTTATTTATCATTTCTGTCGATTGCTTACACGCCGCAACTATGATGCAACGGATTTCTCTGATTATTGACGCGACACGAGATGATGATCGGGCTTTCTATATCAAGAGAGCTTGTTTCACCTCGCAACTTATTACCTCCTAGTAATACCATCGAAAACTGCGCAGGAATGTTGCAACGTACTCGTATGTAGCACTGCGGCACGGTTCAGTACAATGATGTCGGCAACTCTCACATATTGGACAGGCCCTTGCTGTGTCCAGAAATAGTATTCAGTGCCTGACCCCACTCGCTGAACTCTTACACAACTCCGATGTCTAAACTGCTACTTTAACGAATCTATACAGTATTAGCGAAGCACGACCTACTTTTAAGATGGAATACCTTCATTCCTTCATTTATTCTTCCACAACTTTAGAGGAATACAAACTGCGGTTACTTAAAAAGCGACGTGTCATAGCAAAAGCTCATGTCCTGACCTGGGTCACTTTTAGTTTTGAAATCTAATCGAAATATCTTTTTTCTGGTACTTACCGAAATTTCGACATACTGAGCTCGATTATTTTTAGTCAGCTCCACATAATGAACTCAAGCTAACAAATACAATAAGTTTTTTAGTCCTGATATCACGGACAAACTCACGGATACTTTGCTATTAGAGACGAATTTGGTCGTATATTTTCGCCTGGTTGAACAACAGTGGACACTACGAGACAATTGACCATAATAGAACTATTGAAGTGTTATACGACCACGGCAGTAAGACCTCATAATCCTGAGTATTGAGTCGCTAACTTTTGGTCCTACTTTTTGTCCTTAATTTCAAGCTGTTGGGGCAGTGTGTCATTATGATGACCCAGGACTCTCCAGGCGTTGTTTACCAGTTCCAGCACCCGAATTGCTTTTCGCATCTCTCGAGTCTCCAAAACCCGGAGGGTGGCAATTCTCATCACATCTTACCTACAGTTTTGTTAGGAAAGAAACTGATCGAAAATAATTTTAATGATTAAAGCCGAGAGCAGCGTGCTGACGTCTTCACAGTCGATTGAATAAAAAGGAGAGGAACCAAAGCAAGAATGATAGAGCATGCTGACTTCTTTCCCATCGTTGGGGTCGCCATAAACCTCCAGGGAGTAGCACCATAGACCGCCGCCATGCAGTAGCACATCGATGGGGAAGATAGATATCCTAAATATCCTTCGAATTCATGTACGTGAGCACAATCTACAGCTAACATGCTGTGCTCAAACTTCAGCGCTTCTTTATGCGGTTTGCAACAATTATAACAGATATCTGTTTAGAGGCTGCATAATTTACGAAATTTGTAGATGGTGAGAAATCGGCACTGCTATCGACTCAGAACGGTTGACAGCCACCAACCCGTTTTTGTCTTTCGGGCAGCAGAAGTTTGTATACGTGTCGAAATCGTGACTACAACGCCAGTTTTACCGTAGGGATATGGAGTAACCTGTAGGGATCCAAAAATGTCGACTGGGTTACAAGTAACATTAGAAGACCTTCAAGAAACCTTCAGCTTGGATGACCTTCGTTCAAATTGCTGCGAGTGCCGCGTCTAACGACTAGTTTTTGCATTACCTTCCTGTTATGGACGCAGCCATCGGCTCAGCGAAGCCGATCGCTGCGCTCATAACATTGCTACAACTTCGCTGGTACAGGTCGCTGCCGCCCTGTACGGATGTATTTCACTGTAGCAGGGATATTGGAGGCATTTTTGAAGCACAAGACCACGTTAAAGTGTATTTTTCAGCGAATTCGCTTAGGGTTTTCAAAATAGGACCTGTGAGCTCTCCCGGTATGAGCGCAAGGGATTTTGTTTCCACCTATTTTAAATCAGTAGGAAATTTCGTCGGCCTTTTAAAATCTATACCAAAACTATCGTCGTCACTTTGGTATAGTTTTCAAATTCCAAAGCTTCATCACTCGAAACGCGACTTTTCATTTTGAATAGAGACCTTAATCATACAACTCTCGACTCATTTTCGACCGTCCATGTTTGATAATCCCGGTAGACCTTGAAACTTTGAGGTCGATGGTCTAAATTAGGCAGCGGTAATCAATAGTTAAACGCTTTTAACGATGCAGCCAATGAATTCATATCCGGCGAGACGCTTCGACGACGCAGAAGTGTGGTCATAATACATGGGTATAGGCGTGACTTCCTTTGAGTTTCATTCCCTTTACCATAGCACGCGTGATTCTTTCTGCTGGGCATTTGCCTACACTGAATGTATATATGCAAGGTACATCAGGAGCCACCTATTAGCTGACATTGGATTCAGTCGGGACACGTGAGCGGAAATTCGAAACAAAATGTTGAGGGTAGAGACCTCGTTGTAAAGTCCACTCATCTCCAATCGCGGCGGAAATTATCTTGATCCCTGTTGAACATACACGGCCGTACGAGTGGGTTGAGATTGTACAACCTACACAGTTTCTCTTGTGACGTACCCGGAAACCGAGCGGAGATCTTCTCGAAACCGTGTGAGGAGCAGACAACCATAACCAGACAGATACTACACTCCAGTACGCCAATTCTTCGCAGAGCCTAACCAATTAAATAACACCCGATTGTGATTACTACGAAGACAGAAGCGTGTCATTGAATCGACCAGAATCCTACCTCGATTGCTTTGCATTCCGCCCCACCGCTTGCAGAGGTCGAGAAGAGCAACACTTCGAAGTCAGTGATATTATCTGGAACATCCAGATATTCCAACTGCCAGTTCGTGTAGCCAGCGGTATGTTCTGCTTTGACGTGGATTTGACCTGCGTTTCGGTGTTAGCTAGCCCGTCCATTGCAGCATCAATGAAGCTGTTAGCCTGCAGCTCGTACCTGTCGAGCCGTGAGGATCAATCTGGCAAAACGCTGTTAGGAATGACGTGCTTTCGTCACCTAACGTGACCGCACAAAACTTGGCATTGCTATAACCACAACTGGCGTCGCTAACGTGCTGATCATATGACGCTAGGGTTTCTTCAAGTAGAATGCTAACTCATCAGCATCATAGTTAGATAACCCAATTTTCACAAAAAGAATTAACGCTACATAACGCACAAGGTGAGGCGAGCAGCAGCACGTCGGGAGTCGACCGGATTGGTTCTTTCGTCTTGCAATGTGTTCAAAAGTAGTGTCACTCTCTTCGACCGTGACTGGAGAGTAGGGGGCTCAGGTACATTAACTCTCTCGGACTTTCCATTAGGAAAAATCTGCTCCGTCGGTCGGTTAACCGAGGTGCGAGACTCTCCAACTAAAGCCGCTGGCGGTGCAACTGGAGATGGTGATAGCTGCTCGGTTTCGTTCTCGCGTGAGAGGATCTCGGCTCGGTTCTTGTACATTTGACACACTGCGGCACGGGTGACGCCGAATTCTCGAGCCAGAGCGGCCTGTGGTTCCCCATCAGCTACCCGCTTGATGATACAGCATCGATCACCGTGTCGAAGATAGTTTGGAGGTTTACGCTGCTTCCTTTTGTTTGGAACGGGTGATGCAGGACGTTGCTGCGGGGAGTCGATGGCTGGTCGTTTGGACTCGACTTCCGTCTCGAAGCCATCAGGAACGCTGCGTTTACCAGCAAGAGGGACGACGACCCTCGACGTAAATTCGTGTCTAGCCGTGAACGCGAGACGCTTCTCCATTATTAACGCAAAGGACCTCTGAGTGTTGGGAGAGCTTGGAAGGTAAAGTCCAGAAATGGGTCCCTTCCTAGCGGTCGCAACGGTTCGGTTGCTGGTAATGATATTTGCTTTAGGTTTAAGCCATTAATGCAACTTTAGTCACCTTGAAGTGTCTTCTGTTGCCTGGAAGTTTAGCTTATGTTGCCTGGACGTCGGTTCAGTTGCTGGCGATCTTTTGGTAAAATCCTGAATCTCTTGACAGTGAAATTGCTGGCTTTATTTGGACAGTATCGTCCATAGCGATCGCACCGATACTGTATAATGTGTTTAGCATTCAAACTTTTCGGTTCAGATGGAGTCGCCATGCATCGTTGGCGGGTCGATTCGAGCTCGAAAAAGCCTCGAAGGCACTGGAATGACGAAGGCACTGGAATATCGGATCCACCAGTGTTCGCGTTTCCTCTGATCATCCATCTGGCTTTCTTTTCGGCACGCCAGTTGCGTCGCCACCGGTCGTCATGATAGCCCTTTGTCTGCCGTTGATCTGAGCCATAACTGTATTAGGACCGACCATAACGGACAGTGTCTGTTCGGTTTTTATTTTTTGCAATTAGGAAAGTGCCGTTTATTATCTTTACACAAAAGGGAGTGTAATGAGGTCGATGTGGCCTTTCCCATAGTAAACAGATCTAGTATGTCCTGGTATGGACGCTGATAACCAGTTACTGTAACAGTTATACGGTAGACTACTATAATATGGAAACGCTGGTACCTCGCTTACAGCAACTGCCTCGGCAACATACGTTCTCGCCGCGCTAATTCTTCAGAATTCTGTTCTAGTTGCCAGTGGCCATCAGCCGTCATGCTGGACGACTGGTGTACATGAATCGCGTCCGAGGGGTTACGAAGCACATTGAGCAGTGTAGCCACTAGATCTACCCGCGATTCAAAAGCGAATACACGACCTTGCTCGTCGAAATTCAGCACCAGCTCCACGGGTATCGAACCTCTGCTGCCAACGAGTTTATCGACGATTCCACAGTCTTGTGGGTTGTGTAGAGATCTGTCAAACAACGCAGGATATAAGGTCTTGACTGTATCCTCCGTGAAAGTCACAGTCATCTCGGCGTTAGCGTGTACCGTCACAATACATAGTGGATCATCGTCGCTATCCACGATGCGCATCGCTTGTAGCTTGATCTCGAGCCCTTGGTGGAAAGTCGTATATTTTTCCCACTGGTCCATAAACGCCTGCATACCTTGAAAATCGCGGCAAACAATGTCAGGGCTAAAGACGCTGGTCATGTATTGGTCGATCACGGCGCAACGGTCCCTGTCCCTCGAGTTGTATCCGTGTTGGAATTGCAGATAATACTCTCGGGTGAGATCCAGCGCCACGCTGGAGCAGTTGGTGCGCCAGAGTAACGTAGCCGAATCTCTCAGCATCGCAGATCGCTCTAGCGATGCTATGTCCGCTTGTAATGCACGAATTGAGGAACTCAGTGTCTGTTCCTGTCCTGCGTGTTGACGCCTAGTTCTAGAAATTTGTCGACGTCTTGACGCGCAGTTACGGGCGGGTATCGTTTTGTGGCGGCGATGGAGCGTCGTCCAGTGGCCGATGACTGAGAGTCGTTGGCTGTGATGCAGCGACACCGATCTGGCGAATCGTCGAGCTAAATGAAGAGCACGATTGGTCTCATTGTCTTGGCGCTCGAGAGGCGACGGATATCCGCGTAGGAATGAAAGCATCTGAAGGGGTTTTTGACTTGACGGTGCAAATCGCAGAATGAAATTATTCGGCACAAGGATCCGAATAATATAGAGAAACGCGCAGAGGTTGCGGCGACTTCTATTATTATGGGAGATGGGAACCCGTTGTACGTGGCACGTTACTGGCTCGACCATTTGGTATATTGGGATGATACGAAATGTTGCCGTTGGGAAATTCTCAAATTCTCAAATTCTCAAATT